TTAACTTTAACTTTACATTTGTTTCACTAATGCACTATTATTAGTCAGAGTGGTAATTAGTGTTAACTAATTCAAATCAGGTGGAAAGAATTTCAGGAAAAGATGGGAAAGAAAATGGTTGACCATTTTGGGATTACACATTTTTCCTGCACTGTGTTAAACAGAATTGGAAGGACCAATCATTATGACAATCCTCAGAAAATTTGTCTTAATGGACAGTTTTACAGTTGGTACTTCTTCGACTACATAAGAAAGGTGTATACTGCCGTAGAAAACAACAGAAAAGCCAAACCATTGGTGTCATACATGCATTTCAACACGGGACATGAGATGACAGGGAAACGAATGATCAACATGGATGCCAGCATGGCAAAGTTTTTCACTGATATGGCCTTGTTTCCAAACACTTTGACTGTGATTTTTTCGGACCATGGCCACAAAATGACTCCATTCAGTTACACTGAAGAGGGAAGGAGAGAGTTATTTGATCCAGCATTCTTCATGATTGTCCCTGATGGTGTTAAGGAGAAACTGGGTCCAGAAAGGATGGGAGCCTTGGTAACAAACCAAAAGCGCATCTTTATGTTGTATGATGTTCACAAAGCGCTCATGAGTTTGCATGATTCTCAAGAGAAGGACTCTAGGAATTATTCAGTTTCAGGGATATTTTCAGAGATTTCAGCCAACCGCACTTGTGCAGACTTGTACATGCTTCCCTTAACAAGATGCAAATGTGAAGGTTTTGATGAAGAAATTCCAGTAAAGGATAATGCAGATGATCAGATGTGGTTGGCAGAATTTGCTCTGGGATATATCAATGATGCTATTCAAAAACAATACACGAGTGGTAAGATGTGCAGTGTTATTTGTTCTCTGTTGATTCTGCTCTTAATTGGCAGTGAAAGTAAAGTACTGCTGCTGAAACAAAAGCCCAATGAAGTTTTAATCAAATTGTAGAAAGCTAGGGTGAGTTGAGGCAGGGTGGAGTGAGGGAAAGTTAGGTAAGGGAATAAAAAGAGATGGGTACTGTGGGTTAGGTAGAGTTTGATTAAACGGGTTGGGATGAGGTTTGGTACAGTAGGACTGATAGGGTGGGTACTGTTACACACTGTAGTTGAGATGAGGGTGGAACTGGGTAAGATGTGATAAGGTGGGTTGATAGAGAAAAGATGTGTAGGATAAAATGGAGTCAGGTTAGGCTTCTGAAACAAAAACAAGGTGAAGTTATTTGAGGCGACATGTAATGTGGTGAAGATGAGTGAGGAAAGATTAGGTGAGGTGTGTTGGGTTGAAGTGACAAGTAGTGAGGAGAAATGAGGAAATATTATTAAAGCTGTCATGGTTTGAAGTGACTGAAATGAGCTGACCTGAGGTAATGGTTTGAAGTGACTGAAATGAGCTGACCTGAGGTAAGGAAAGATAATTTGAGGTGTGTTGGGGCAAGATGAACCAAACCCTAACCCCAACCCTATGGGCAACTGCTGTGAGATGATACTCCTGACTCTAGGAAGCGAAGTCCATTTAATTTCATTTTTATTTATTTTTCACTCATTTTCGTCAGGAAATGGTGCTTCAAAGAATAACCATGGCTATGGAAACTGCCAGCGCTTGGTTGGAAAATCATTTGAGAAGGTTGTCAAACGATTCCGTGGAGAATACATCTTGACCACGATGGACGTTCACGTGTTCCCTCCAGCCGGATTCACAGAGGATGAAGTTTATCGAGTCTCTGTCAAACAGTTTGCCAAACCACAACAAGGAGTATTTTTTCTCAGTTCTGTCCGGGTAACAATGTATAACAAGTTTGCCTTGTGTGCAGATAAGTCCGTGGATATTAAGCTCTGCGCATGCTCCAAAGAGCAAACCGCAGACGCCAAGATGAAAGAAGTGTTGTTTGATAATGGAGTTCCTCGCGAAATGTTTGGTTCGGACACAATTGTGAGAGACTTGGATTCAAACTGTTTGTTATTCTTGCGACGGAATCATGGGACGTTTTCATTTGGGTTAGAAATTGCAAATGTTTGCACAAGTCGAACTTATAAATTTGAACTAACAGGCTCTATGGATCAAAGGATATTCTCCAAGACTTTGCCCATTGGGCTGGAATTATTCCCAAAGACGTTTAGTTTTTTGACTTCTGTGTACAAATACCTTTCAAAAGTAAACGAGCCGTTAGGGTTGAAAGCAAGTGTGAAGGTTAAGAAGGATGGATCAAACACCTTTACTGATTTGGGGATTTTCAGTGTTACATGACAGTAAATATAGTTTTCAATCTGTGAGAAAATTATTCCTCTGGACAAGACAAGGAAAACTTCATCTGTACATAAAGGTCTTAAACACTTCAATTCCGTGTATTTACATTTTCTTTTAACCATATAATGGGAGATTGTTTTTTGTGACAAAGCCATTGCTGTTAAGTGAATGACTCAAAGCGCTGTCTGTACTAATGAGATTTGTTTGCTCGTTGCAGTCGCTAGTGTAGAAATTCCTTGTCACGCAATTTTTAGCTGACCAGACATGGATGTTTGGAGGTCAAAAATGTTATGAAAATTGGGAAATATAGACATTAAGAGTAAGAGGTAAACTTACCTTACTGTTACATGAATCTGTTTACAATCTGGTAGTAATTTGGATCAGCCTGAACACAGC